CCCTCAGCACCCCCCGCGACCCCTCCCCATCCTCCGGCCTCGCTGCGCCCCGAAACTGATCAGCCCCCAGTGCAGCCCCACCAGAGCACCCCAAAATATCCCAAATGCACCCCCAAAACACCCCCAGAGCACCCCAAAACATCCCAAGAGCACCCCCAGTGCACCCTAAAACACCCCAGAGCACCCCAAAACACCCCCAGAGCACCCCAAAACACCCCCAGTGCACCCCAAAATATCCCCAGCGCACCCCAAAATATCCCCAGCGCACCCCAAAACATCCCAAGAGCACCCCCAGAGCACCCCAAAACGCCCCCCGAGCCCCCCCGTACCTGCTGGGGCTCCCCGGCGCCGCCCGGGGGGGTCCCGGGGCCGTCAGGGGCTGCGGGGCCGGGGCCGGGCGCGGGGGGGGTCCGGGGGTCCGGGGGCCATGGGCTTCCCTCCACGCCTGGCCGGGGGACACGCGGCGTCAGGGGGTCCCCAAAGCCCCCCGGTGACACGCTGGGGACCCCCGGAGCTGGCACAGCCCGGGAGGGTCCTGCCCTGGCAGTGCCACCCCCCGGGGCACACTGTCCCCTGCAGCGGCGAGCGCCGGGCACGAGGGGATGGCACGGCAGTGTCCCCATAACATAAGGGACTGGCACGGCAGTGTCCCCTTGGCACGAGGGGATGGCACAGCAATGTCCCTGTTCAAGAGTGGCACCGCACCGATGACCCCATTGCATGCAGGGCCCTGTTGCACCAAGAACCCCAGTGCACGAGGGGCTGCACCACACAAAAATCCCATTGCACGAGGGGTTACATCCCATAAAAACCCCATTGCACGAGGGGTTACATCCCATAAAAACCCCATTGCACGAGGGGTTACATCCCATAAAAACCCCAGCGCACGGGTGGCTGTGTGACACTAAAACCCCATTGCACGCAGGGGCTGCACCACACAAAAATCCCATTGCACCAGGGGCTCCCCTGCACCAACAACCCCAGTGCACGAGGGGTTAAAACACATGGAAACCCCATTGCACGGGGATGGGATTGTATGGGATTGACCATATAAAAACCCCATTGCACACAGGGCTGCCCCATACAAATAACCCCGTTGCACGTGGGGTTACATCCCATAAAAACCCCATTGCACGAGGGGCTGTGTCCCACTAAACCCCCTTAGCAGAGGGCTGCACCGTACAAAAAAACCCACATCATGAGGGGATGCACCCTAAAAAAACCCCACAGCACGGGGGTTGTGTGACACTAAAACCCCATTGCAGCAGGGACTGCACCACACAAAAATCCCATTGCATGGGGGGGCTGCGTCACACTGAAACCCCATAGCGCTAAAACCCCATTGCACGAGGGGTTACATCCCATAAAAACCCCAGTGCACGAGGGGCTCTGTCACACCAAAACCCCACTGCATGAGGGGTTACATCCCGTAAAAACCCCAGTGCACAAGGGGTTACATCCCATAAAAACCCCAGTGCACGAGGGGCTCTGTCACACCAAAACCCCACTGCACGAGGGGTTACATCCCGTAAAAACCCCATTGCACAAGGGGCCCTATTGCACCAACAACCCCCTTCCACGAGGGGCTGCACCACACTAAAACCCCATACCACGGGGGGCTGTGTCACACTAAAATCCCGCTGCGCAAGGGGTTATTACATCCCATACAAACCCCAGTGCACGAGGGGCTCTGTCACACCAAAACCCCACTGCACGAGGGGTTACATCCCGTAAAAACCCCATTGCACAAGGGGCCCTATTGCACCAACAACCCCCTTCCACGAGGGGCTGCACCACACTAAAACCCCATACCACGGGGGGCTGTGTCACACTAAAATCCCGCTGCGCAAGGGGTTACATCACACTAAAACCCCGTTCCACAAGGGGCTGCACCGTACCAAAAACCCCATAGCATGGGTGGCTGTGTCACACCAAAACCCCATTGCTGAGGGGCCCTATAGCACCAAGAAACCTGTTCCACGAGGGGCTGCTTCACACCAAAACCCCACAGCATGAGGGGTTACATCACACCAAAACCCCATTCCATGGGGGGCTGTCACACCAGAACCCCACAGCATGGGGGACAGCGTGACACCAAAACCCCACAGCACAGGGGGTTGTCACACAATACCCCACAGCCTTGGGGTGTGGGGTTTTGTGTGACGAGCATGAGCGGCCCCACTGCTCCCCCCCATCGCCGCCCCACAAAACCCCCCTCACACAACCCCCCAAACCCCACAAACCCCACAGGAGCCCCGCGGGCGCTCCCCCATCCCTGCAGCGCCTCCCCGGCTTCGGGAGCTGTCGCCACCAGCAGGGGACAGTCCCCCTGTCCCCCTGTCCCCCTGTCCCTATTCCCGGGGCCCGCGGGGGTCCCGCGCTCCCGGAGCCGCCCCCGGAGCCGCCCCCGGTGCCCCGGGAGCGGGGCCGGGCCTGGCTCCCCTCCAGGACCGGATCGTTTTCTCTCCGTTCTGCCAAATTTATCGCAGGAAAATGGGCTCCCGTTTCCTTCTCACATCCGAAAAACCGCAGCGGGCAGGGCCGGGGGGGGAATGCTCCCCCCGCACCCTTCAGCGCCCTGCCCCGAGGCTGTGCCCGGCCCCACAGCCGGGAAAAGTTTTTGTCACCTCAGATGGGGCTGGGTGAGGCCACCGCGGGCTGGGGACAGTAAATATTTCATCGGGCACCGCTCCGTGGTGGCTTCACTGCTCCGGATGGCGGCAGAAGGGCCCGGATCCATCTTCCCCCTGCCCGAGCATCCTCGGGGATGGATCCCGCATCGCGGGGAGGCCTCATGTCCCCGTCCCTGTCCCTGTCCCCATCCCCTGGCCCCATCCCTGGCCCTGTGCCTGTCCCCTATTCCTGTCCCTGTCCCTATTCCTGTCCCCTCTCCCTGTCCCCTATTCCCTATTCCTGTCCTCTGTCCCTGTCCCCATCCCCTGTCCCTGTGCCTGTCCCCTATTCCCAATTCCTGTCCCTGCCCCTATTCCTGTCCCCTATTCCCTATTCCTGTCCCTGTCCCCATCCTCTATCCGTGTCCCTGTTTCTATCCCCTGTCCCCTGCCCCTGTCCCCAAGGGGACGCCCTGCCTGGTGGCCGCATGCCCAGGGTGGGGTGCACAGGGTGGTCCTGCCTGTCCCCATTGTCCCCAAGGCGTGGATGGGCATGGGGACACGGCAGGTCCACGGTCACCGCGTGTCCTTGAGCCACAGCCACCAACGTCCCTGCTCCGGGAGGTGACACGGCCGCAGGACACCGCGGGTGGCTCTGCCACCCCCCACACGGTGACAATGGACAAGGGGGAGCAGCAGATGCCACCACGCTGGGGCAGGACCCTCGGGAGGGGACAGCAAAGGGGTCGTGAGGGTGACACCGGCCGCGACAGCACTTCCCGCGGCAGGGACAGGCGTGGGGACACCACGGCCAGGCTGCAGCGCCCCGGGGGTGACAGCGGGGTGGCATCGGCGACAAGGGGAGCAACTGCAGAGGAGGGGGGGGGCGCGGCCATAAATAGCGGCTGATTTATTCATTTATTCATTTATCCCCCCTCGCTAATTCCTGCCCGGGCACCGCGGGGGATGGGGCAGCGCTGCGGGTGGCACCGCGGGGACAGCGGGGTGACCCGGCCCGGGGTCACCGGGGCTCCCCGCCAGTCGCCGCCGCGGCCCGGGGGCACCAAGTGCGTCAGACCCCCGGCTGCCCCCCCCAAATCCACCGCGTGGCCCCGGTTCCTGCCGCCGCCGCCAAGCCCGGGCCATATGTCCCAGGCCGGGAGCAGCTGGCGGTGCCCGCGGGAGCCCCCGGCCCCCGCTGCCCGCCCGCGGCGAGGGGCGGGCCGGGGGCGGCACCGCGCTGCCCCCGAGGCCAGGGCAGGGGGGCTCGCTGGGCTTGGGGGGGACACGGAACCGGCGGGACGAGGCCACGCCGCTCCCCAAAAAGCAGCGGGATGGCTCAGCCCAGCCGTGCCACCGGGGGACCCCCGGGGGTGGCAACGCCCGCGACCCCCCGGTCCCCCCGTGCCGCCCCCCTGGCACGGCGGGGTGGGGGCAGAGGGGCAGCGCCCGGCGCTGGGGGGTTTCCCCCACGCAGGAACGAGCCCGGTGCCATCCGTGGGGCGTCCGTGTGTCCCCCCGGAGCGCAGGGAGGTGGCAGACCCGCGGGGACACGCGGGGACACCCGCAGCTCCCCGGACCCGCCGCGACGCCGGGGAATCCCCGCCTGGCGCCGGGGTCTCCCCGAGAAAATCCCTCCGCAGAGCCCCGCCGGGACACCCGGCACCGCCGCTGCACCGGGGGACACGGCCACCGCCCCCGTGTCCCCGGGGGTGGCAGGGACAGCCGCGATCCCCCCTCGCGACACCCCCAACCCAAGGGGGGACCCCATCCCCATCCCGCCCGCCGCGGGAGGGGACGCGCGGCCGGGGACACCGTACCTGTGTGGGGCTGGGCTGGGGGGTCCCGGGGGGTGCAGCGGGGGGGTCCGGGCTCCCCACGCCCCCCCCTTGGCCGCCACCGCGCCGGCGTCCCCAGACAAAGCCGCCACCGCGCCGGGCTCTCCCTGCGCCTCCCCCACTCTCGGCTCGAAAGGACAAAGCCGCTCCGCCTGGCTGCCCCCGCCGGGCCACCGCGACCCCCGCCCGGGGCCACCCGGGGGGGACACGGCCGTGCCCGCCCCCCCGGCACCGCCACAAAGCCCTCGGACAGGGGGGGTCCCCCAAAGCTCGCCCACGCCCTCGCGGAGCCCGGCGTCCCCACTGCAGGGCGGGGGTCCCCACCCTGAGGAGGGGTCCCCGCGGTGTCCCCCCCACCAGCGCAGGGTCCCCAGCGGTGCGCCAAGGTCACCGGGAAGGTCGCGGGGGGCGGGAAGGCCCCCGTGTGTCCCCACGGTCCCCGCCTCGACGGCTGCACGTCGAAGGCACGAGGGCCACGCGGGGCGCGGAGCCCCCGGAGCCCCCCCGGGCCCGCCGGATCCGGTGGCGGAGGACGCGCCACCCCGGTGTCACAGCCGTGTTTGTGGCCCGGGGTCCCCCTGCTTTTGGGGGCTCCTGAGCCGGGTGTCACCCCGCTGTGCCATCGGTGTCACTCCCCAGTGCCACCAGTGCCACCCCGCTGTGCCATCGGTGTCACTCCCCAGTGCCACCAGTGCCACCCCGCTGTGCCATCGGTGTCACTCCCCAGTGCCACCAGTGCCATCCCAGCAGCTGGCGGCCAAACCCAGGGGAGCCCCGAGTGCCGCCAAGCCCTCAGCCGTGCTCACGCCTTTGGTGACAGCAGCCACATTGTCCCCAAGGACGGGAACCCCCAAATCCCCCGACTCCATCAGCCGGGGGTGCCCCGCGCAGCCGAACCCCGCAGGGAGGGGCGTCCCTGATGTCCCCACACCAGGGAGGGAGTCCCCAGTGTCCCCACACCACAACACCCCCCAGACAGGACATCCCCGCTGTCCCCACCCTCGTCACCCCCCAGGCAGGACATCTCGGCTGTCCCCACACCCCCAGCGAGGGAGTCCCCGCTGTCCCCACACCGGGGAACGCCACGCGCGGGGTCCCCCCCGCTGCCACCCCCGGGGTGTCCCCCCCTCCGCCGCCACCCCCGGGGTGTCCCCCGCTCCGCCGCCACCCCCGCGCCCGCTCACTTGTCACGGCCCCGGTGCCACGGGGAGCGTCGGGGGGCGCGGGGGGCGGCGGGGACACGCGGCGGGGGCGGCGGGCGCTGCCGGCTCCGGGCTCGGCGGAGCGACACTGGCGACAACGGCAGCGTGCGGGGGGGGCCGGGGGCTTCCCCGCCCCACGCCCCCGCGTCCCCCCCCGGCAGGGCAGTGACCTTGAGGCCGCGGCGCTGGCGGTGGGTGGCAGCCCGCGATATTTTTAGCCGGGCGCTGTCACTCCCAGCGCGTCCTCATTGTCACCGCCGGGGGCTCCTCCCGCGCCCCCCCCTCCCGCCCCCCGCCGCACCGGAGGGGGCTGAGCAGGCCCCGGACACCCCCGAGCCTCTGAACACCGGGGAACCCCGGTTTTGGGGGGGGGATTCCCGGTTTTTGGGGGATGATGCCCGGTTTTGGGGGGGGGTCTCGGTGCCAGCCGCCCCCGCATGTCCCCCCCCGCTCGTTGCCATGGCAATGCCCCATTCCCCCCCCCCACCTCCAGTGATGGAAAAAGGGGGAGGGGAGTCCCGGAGGGGGGAGGGGCGGGGAATCCCCTCCCTTCTTCGCCCCTCCCCCACTGCGGCGGGGATCCCCGAGGTGGGGGGGGACACCGGGACCCTCCCCGCACTGCGGGATTCCCCAAAATCCCGTGGGAAACGGGGGATCCCCCGCTAATCCCGCCCCTCCCCCCGCGGGGGGATTCCCCCCTTTAATGGGGACCCCCGGCACGGAGGGGATCCCCCAAATCCCCTAAAGCACAGCGGGGGACCCCGGAAACGCTTTGGGGTGCCCTCAATCCCCCCTGATCCCATGGGGCTGATCTGGGGGGGAGAGGGGACACCGGGAATGGGACTGGGAATGGGAAAGGGGAATGGGATTGGGGTTGGGAATGGGGAACAGGGAATGGGAACGGGGATGGGATTGGGAATGGGAAAGGGGATGGGATTGGGAATGGGAACGGGGAATGGGATTGGGAATGGGAATGGGGAACAGGAATGGGAACAGGGAATGGAAACGGGGATGGGATTGGGAACGGGGATGGGATTGGGAATGGGAAAGGGGAATGGGATTGGGGTTGGGGTTGGGAATGGGGAATGGGGAACAGGGAATGGGAATGGGGATGGGATTGGTGTTGGGAATGGGATTGGGGTTGGGAATGGGGAACGGGAATGGGGAACAGGGAATGGGAATGGGGATGGGATTGGGAATGGGAAAGGGGAATGGGATTGGGGTAGGGAATGGGGAACAGGAATGGGGAACAGGGAATGGAAACGGGGATCGGATTGGGAATGGGAAAGGGGAACAGGGAATGGAAATGGGGATGGGATTGGGAACGGGGATGGGATTGGGAATGGGAACGGGGAACAGGGAATGGGAATGGGATTGGGAATGGGAAAGGGGAATGGGATTGGTGTTGGGAATGGGGAACAGGAATGGGGATGGGAATGGGGAACAGGATTGGGAATGGGAAAGGGGAACGGGAATGGGGACGGGGATGGGATTCGGAATGGGGAATGGGAAAGGGGAACAGGGCATGGGAACGGGGAATGGCAACGGGAAAGAATGGAGATGGGGAATGGGAAGGGGGTATGGGAATGTGGATAGGGCACGGGGATGGGAATGAGGAATGGGAACAGGGATGGGAAAAGGAAGGGAATTTGGAAGGGGAGAGGAATGGGAATTGGAATTCCCAGGATGGGAACAGGGGGAGCCAGGAAGGGTTCCCAGCTCCCAGGGGTTCCTCATTCCAGGAGCAGCGGGAATGGGGGATTCCCCCCCCAGGAACAGCCCAGGGGGTCCCAGGGAAACTCCCCAGTCCAAGCAGGAATCCCACCCCCAATTCCAGCGGGATCTTCCACATTTTCAGGGATAAAACTGAGCAAGGAGGGAAAGAATCCCCCCAAACCCTTCCCAAGTTACTCCTTCCCCAATTTAATGGGATTTTTTTTTTTCTTTAAATTTTTAATTGGATTCAAACACACCAAACTCACACAAAGGGATGATGGGGGGGGGGTCACTCCTCCCTGGCTGGATTTGGGAATTCTGGGATGTGGGAACAGGGCCCAGCCCAGGGGGGGCAGCCCCAAAAAGAGGGAAAAGGATGAGGCTGGATGAATCCCATGGGATTTTGGGAAGTTGGGTGGCACCTCCAGGCCGATTCCTGGGAAGGAATTTCATTCCCAAAGGATGGGAATCCCTCCTCCGAGTGGATTTGGGGCTCCAGCATTCCAGGGGACAGTGGGAATGTCACCTGGAGTGCCTGTCCCCCCTGGGAAAGGCTTTTCCCACTCCCCCGAGGGATTTTCCCTCTTCCCAACACTTCTGCCCCAATCCCAAAGGAAACAGGACCAAGGATAGCCCAAACCCCAAAGGAAATGGCACCAGGGACCTCAGGGATGAGCCAATCCCAAAGGAAATGGGAGCAGGGATTTCAGGGACATCCCAATCCCAAAGGAAATGGCACCAGTCCCAAAGGAAATGGGAGAAGGGATTTCAGGGATATCCCAATCCCAAAGAAACAGAAGCAGGAATTTCAGGGATATCCCAATCCCAAAGGAAACAGGAGCAGGGATCTCAGGGATATCCCAATCCCAAAACAAACAGGAGCAGGATTTCAGGGACATCCCAGTTCCAGAGGAAACAGGAGCAGGAATTTCAGGGACATCCCAAAGCAAAGAGGAGCAGGCAGGACTTTCAGGGATATCCCAAAGGAAACAGAACCAGGATTTCAGGGACATCCCAGGAGCAGGTATTTCAGGGATATCCCAATCCCAAAGAAACAGGAACAGGGATTTCAGGGACTTCCCAAAGGAAATAGGAGCAGGGATCTCAGAGATATCCCAATCCCAAGGAAACAGGAGCAGGATTTCAAGGCTATCCCAAAGAAACAGGAGCAGGATCTCAGGGATATCCCAATCCCAAAGCAAACAGGAGCAGGAATTTCAGGGACATCCCAAAGCAAAGAGGAGCAGGGATCTCAGGGATATCCCAATCCCAAAACAAACAGGAGCAGGATTTCAGGGACATCCCAGTTCCAGAGGAAACAGGAGCAGGAATTTCAGGGACATCCCAAAGCAAAGAGGAGCAGGGATCTCAGGGCTATCCCAAAGAAACAGGAGCAGGGATCTCAGGGATATCCCAAAGAAACAGGAGCAGGGATCTCAGGGCTATCCCAATCCCAACCCCAAAGCAAACAGGAGCAGGATTTCAGGGATATATCCCAAAGACCCAGGAGCAGGGATCTCAGGGACATCCCAATCCCAAAGAACCAGGAGCAGGATCTCAGGCGAGACCCAGGCTCTGGCATCTCTTCGGGCTCACACCCCAGGAGCACTTTCCACGTGACAACTCCAGAATCCCACGGAGGGGACGCCGAGGGCAGCCGGGAGCTGCTTCCCGCAGGGAATTCCAGGAAGGAGAAGGCGCCATCAGTCCGACCTCCAGCTCGCCCCAAACCCACGGCGGGGAGAGAGAGAGAGACACAAAAAACCCCAAAAGGCCCACGGGGGCCGGTCCTGGCGGGGATCCCAGTCCGGGCAGCTGCCTAGGGGTGGCTGTTGTAGGGTTTGTGCCGCTGGTTCAGGGGGTTCTCGGGGGACCTCATCCACTCCTTCTTGAGCAGCTGGCGCAGCTGGCTCAGCCGCATGTTGGGGTTGTCCCGCCGCAGCCGCGGCAGCTGCAGCTCCTCGAAGGCGGCGAAGGCGGCGCGGAGACGGCGCTCGGGGTGGCGCTCCAGGGGCTGGGACACGCTGGGGACACAGGGACATGGTCACAGGGGATAGGGACACACTGGGGACACAGGGACACGGTCACGGGGGTGGGACATGGTCACGGGGGGATGGGACACGCTGGGACACGCTGGGGACACAGGGACACGGTCACGGGGTGGGACATGGTCACGGGGGGATGGGGACATGGTCACGGGGGGATGGGACACGCGGGTGGGACACACTGGGGACAGAGGGGACACGGTCACGGGGGGATGGGGACATGCTGGGGACAGAGGGACACAGTCAAGGAGGGTGGGACATGGTGGGGACAGAGGGACACGGTCACGGGGGATAGGGACACACTGGGGACACAGGGACATAGTCACAGAGGGTGGGACACACTGGGGACAGAGGGACACGGTCATGGGGGGTGGGGACATGGTCACAGGGGGATGGGACACACTGGGACACGCTGGGGACACAGGGACATAGTCACAGAGGGCGGGACACACTGGGGACAGAGGGACACGGTCATGGGGGGTGGGGACATGCTTGGGACAGGGGGGGACATGGTCGGGGGGACAGGGACATGGGGGACAGGGACATGCTGGGGACAGGAACATGGTCAGGAGAGAAGGGGGACACGCTGAGGACAGAGCAGGACATGGTCATAGGGGGACAGGGACACAGTCAGAGGGGGACGGGGACATGCTGGGGACAGGGAGGGACATGATCCCAAAGGAAACGGCACCAGGGACAGCCTGATCCCAAGGGAAATGGAATCAGGGACCCCCCCAATCCCACAGGAGCCCCCCAGGAATTCCATGGACACCCCAAGCCCACAGGAACCCCCCAGGAATTCCAGGGACACCCCAATCCCACAGGATCTCCCGGATCCCCCAGTCCCACAGCACCTCCATCCCTCCCACCCCAAATCCCGGATTCCCGCCGGGATCCGAACCCCGGGGGGGTTCAGGGACCATCCCTGGGGGATTCTGGGGGGATTTGGGGGGATTTTGGGGTCGGGGCGCACCTGAGGGCGGCGATGGCGTCCTCGATGCTGCGCGCCTCCACAGCGCCCTCCTCAGGCAGCCGCCGGTTCAGGTTCTCCTCCAGCGGCAGCTCCAGGTGCGATTTCTCCTTCTCCACTGCCGGGAAAACCGGGAATGCTGAGGGATTCCCTCGGGAAAACCGACTGTCCCTCTGGAAAACTCGGGTTTTCCCTTAAAACCACTCCCCGGGAAATTTTCCCCTCTAAAAATCTCAATTTTTCGTCTAAAAACCTCCAATTTTTCATCTGGAAAATTCTATTTTTTTTTCCCTTGGAAAACTCATTTTTTTTCCTAAAAAACAATCAGTTTTTCCTCCGCAAAAGGAAATGTGGGAATGGGAAACATGAAATATGGGATTGGGAATGGGAAATGTGAAATGTGGGAATAGGAAATGGGAAATGTGGGATTGAGAATGGGAAACGTGGGAATGGGAAATGTGGGATTGGGAAAGACATGGACACGGCAAATTAAGAAGCCCAGGAGTAAAAATCACAGAATTTTACAGAATTCCACATCCAGAAAGAGCTTTGGGATCAAGCCCAACGCCAAACCCCATCCCCAAAGCGCCATATCCAGGATTTTTGGGGACAATTCCAGGGAATGGGAATCCCAAACCCCCCAGAGCCACTCCCAAGGTCTCTCCTGGAGCAGCAGCAGCCCCCAGGCCAGAATTCCCAGGGAATTCCCAAACCTGCATCCGTGTTTTCCTTCTGCTGCTGCTCCTTGCGGACGTTCTCCTCGATCTGGGCGCGGGTGATTTTCCCAGGATTTCCCTGCTTGGGAGTTTTCCCTTTGAGCTTGGAGTCCTCCTCCTCCAGCAGCCGCTGCAGCTCCTTGCGGCGCTCCAGCTGCTCCAGGCGCCGCTTCTCCCGCTCCTCCTGGGAATGGACACGGATCTGGCACTCCAGGGGGGTCACACCCACCCCAGGAAGGTGGGAATTCCCTGGGATGGCACCTCGGGAGTGAGGGACCCATGGATGGATCCATGGATGGATCCATGAAAGGATTCATGGATGAACCCACGGATGGATCCATGGAAGGATACATGGAAGGATTCATCAATGAATCCATGGATTCATGGATGGACCCATGGAAGGACCCATGGATCAACCCTTGGATGGACCTGTGGATCGATGGACCCATGGATGGATCCAAGGACTCATGGATCCATGGATGGATTCATGGATGGGTCGATAGATGGATCCTTGGATGGATTCATGGATGGGTCAATAGATGGATCCATGGATGGATTCATGGATGGATCCATGGATGGATCCATGGATGGGTCAAGAGATGGATCCATGGATGGATTCATGGATGGATCCATGGATGGATCCATGGATGGGTCAAGAGATGGATCCATGGATGGATTCATGGATGAACCCACGGATGGATCCATGGAAGGATACATGGAAGGATTCATCAATGAATCCATGGATTCATGGATGGATTAGTGGATGGACCCATGGATTGATGGACCCACGGATGGACCCATGGATGGATGGATCCAAGGATGGATTCCTGAAAGGATTCATGACTGAATCCATGGATGGATCCATCCATGGACCCATGGATGCAGCAGATCCAGGCGCCGCTTCTCCCACTCCTCCTGGGAATGGACATGGATCTGTCACTCTAGAGGGGTCACACCCGACTCAGGAGCTGGGAATTCCCTGGGATGGAACCCGGGGTGATGGACCCATGGATGGATCCATGGAAGGACCCATGGAAGGATTCATTAATGAATCCATGGATTCATGGATGGATTCATGGATGGATCCATGGATGGGTCAATAGATGAACCCATGGATGGATTCATGGAAAGATTCATTAATGAATCCATGGATTCATGGATGGATTAATGGATGAACCCACAGACGGATTCATGGAAGGATCCATGGAAGGATTCATCAATAGATTCATGGATGGATTAATGGATGGACCCATGGATGGATCCATGGAGGGATCCATGGATGAACCCATGGAAAGATCCATAGATTGATCCATGGAAGGATTCATGGATGGATGGACACAAGCTTGGATTCATTGATGGACCCATGGAAGGATCCATGAATGAATCCATGGATTCATGGATGGATTCATGGATTGATGGACCCATGGATGGACCCATGGATGGATGGATCCATGGATTCATGGATGGACCAATGGATGGATCCAAGGACTCATGGATCCATGGATGGATTCATGGATGGACCCACGGACGGATCAGCTCCAGCTGCTCCAGGCGCTTCTCCCGCTCCTCCTGGGATTGGCACAGGGATCCCCAGGGGTCACACCCGCCCCAGGAACCTCCTCCCTGGGATTTGGGATCCCACCTTCCTCTGCTCCTTCCTCAGGACGTGTTTGTCCTCGTCCTTCCAGAGCTCATCCTCCAGCTCCTGCTGCCGCCGCGCCTCCGCCGCCGCCTTGGCCTCGGCCCTGCGGGCGCGCGCCGCCGCCGACTTGCTGTTCTCCCCCTGGAATTTCTTGGGCATTCCTCAAACCCTCTGGGAAACCGGGAGAAATCGGGGTTCCGCACGGATCTGGGGTCGGTTTTTTGGGTTGTTTTTTTTTTCACGGGGTAAGTTGGGATTGAGGTTTGAGGCCAGGCTGGGAGTTTGCACGCTCGGAGGTTTGCAGGGATGGGGAATAAAAGTTCCCAAGGTTTCCCTCCCCAGTTTCCCTCAGGATTCTCCAGTCCCTTCCCAAAAATTCTCCAGCCATTTCCCAGAAATTCTCCAGCCATTTCCCAAAAATTCTCCACCTTCTTCCCAGAAATTCTCCAGCCCCTTCCCAGTTTCCCTCAGGAATTCTGCAGCCCCCTCCCAGAAATTCTCCATTCCCTTCCCAAAAATTCTCCAGCCCCTCCCCAGATTCTAGGGATTTGGAGAAGGGAAAAGTCCCCAAAACCGAGTTAAAAACTGGGCTCGTCCCCCTGATTTATCCCAGATTTACCCCAACCCCAGGTCGGGATAAACCTGGGATAGATTTCCCAGATTTCCTCCAGATCCCAAATCTGCTCCCTCCTGGCCAAACTCCAGCCTCTCAGCCCATGGAAAAAGCACCTGGAAGTCCAAAAAAATCCCGAGCCAGAAAAAAACGGGATTGAGGTGTCTCTACCCCGATCCAGGGAGGAGAGAAACTCCTTGAATTTGGAGAAACAGCCCCAAAAATGGGCTGGCACTGTTATCCAGGGTGGGAAAAGTCAAATCCAAGGAAAAAGGGACCTTTCAAATCAACCAAACACGGGGAAAATCGCAGCTTTGGGAGCTCTGGGGCGGAATCTTTGATTTTAACAGTAGCTAATTGTTAATTTAACGAATTAAAAACAAACGGGCTGCTGCATTCCCGAGGTCTGCCCAGCCTGGGATGGATTCAACCCTTCCTCCCGCCTGGAACATCCTCGGAGCCATCCTCAAATCCTTTTTCCTGCATTTTCACCCTCCCTAAAATCCCTTTTCCCGCCCCCGAGCCCGCCCGGGAGCGGTACCGGGGCAGGGCCTCACCTGAGGGGCGGCAAAAAGGGACCCCCGGGCCTGTCCCACCGCCCCGGGCCTCCCCCCCCCGCCACGCCGCGGTGTCCCCGCTGCCCCCGGGGCCGTCCCTTCCCCTCGCTCCCGGCCCGGGCCCGGCCCGGTCCCTCCGCCCCGCCCGGCCCCGAACCGGCCCCGCTCCTACCGGGCCCCGCCGCCCCGGCCGTCGCGCGCTTTGTGCGTCATCACCGCGCGCCGTCACCCCCCCCATAGACGGGGCGGGCAGGGCGCCGCCGCCATGTTTGTTAAGGGCGCGGCCGGGTACAACTTTGCTGTTTCTTTGCGGGAGAGGCGGCGGAGGGAGAGGAAGGAGCGGAGGGAGCGGCGGAGAGCCCCGCTCAGGGCGGCGCGGCGGAAAAATCCGCGGGGAATTCGAGCAGCTCCCGCCGGTAGCGGAGGTTCTGCCCGGTTCAAAGATGGCGGCGCCCTGAGCGGCTCCTGAGGGGGTGGGTGGGGCTTAAAAGGGCGGGGTCGCTGTCAGACGAGTGGGCGGGGCTTAGAGGGGAGGGGCCTTTGTCACCTGCAGGAGTCGGGATTGTCCCCTGGGGGCGGGGCTTAAAGGGGAGGGGCCCTTTGTCACCTGCAGGAGTCGGGATTGTCACCTGGGGGCGGGGCTTAAAGGGGAGGGGCCCTTTGTCACCTGCAGGAGTCGGGATTGTCACCTGGGGGCGGGGCTTATCAGGATGTGGCCATTGTCCCCATAGTGGGCGGAGCTTGGCAGGGCGTGGCCATTGTCCCCTCGGTGGGCGTGGCTCACGGGGGCAGCTCTTGATTCCCAAATTCCCCCCAAACCTGTGACCCCCCCACTGGTCCAGCAGCGTCACCTGGGGGACAGATGTGTCCCCTCCCTTTCCTCCCCTGTGTCCCCTCCCTGTCCCCTCCCTTTCCTCCCCCGTGTCCCCTCCCTGTCCCCCCAAGGCCAGGCTCTGTCCAGGACCAGCAGCTCCTTTATTGGGGCCAGCACCGTGTCCCCACCCTGCTGTCCCCGTGTCCCCACCACCCCGCTGTCCCCTACACGTCGCTCTCGGTGACAGTGCCACCCCTGGGGGGGTCACTCGGGGGTGTCCCCTCCCTGTCCGGCCTCTCCAGCAGCGCCTGGGTCACGGCGGCCTTGTCCTTGTCCTGCTCCTTGTCCTTGTCCTGGTCCTCGTCCCCGGGGGTGCTGTCACCCTTGGGGACACTCGAGGGCGTGGCCCTGACGATGTCCCACCACAGCACGCCCTGGGGACAGCGGCTCTGCCGGGCTGGCCCTGCCGGGAGGGGACACAGTGACAGGGAGTGACAGGAGCGAGGTCACAGAGAAGGGGGACAGGGACAGGGTGACACGGGGGGTGACAGGGCCATCCCCCCTCACCTGGCAGCAGGCTGAGCAGGGCCCCTGTCCCCACGGTCCCCAGGGTCCCCAAGGCGCCGTAGTACAGGTAGGACATGGAGTAGAAGTCACCCAGGATGGCCGGGCTGTGACAGGGGACAGCGGGGTGTCACCGGCATGGTGACGTCACAGGGCGTGGGGACACCCGGTGACGTCACAGGGAACAGGGCTGTGACGTCACATCCAGCAGGGACAGGGCTGTGACGTCACAAGGGACAAGGGAAGCAGCGTGACACCGCAAGGGACAGGGACACTGCTGCGATGTCACAACACGCAGGGGCGGTGACGTGACATCACATCCAGCAGGGACAGGGGCGTGACGTCACAGGGAATGGGGACAGCGGTGTGACATCACCGCCAGCAGGGACAGGGGCGTGACGTCACAGGGAATGGGGACAGCGGTGTGACATCACCGCCAGCAGGGACAGGGACATGGCACCGCAGGGGACGGGGATGGGGACAAGGACAGGGACAGGGACAGGGACAGGGTCGTGCCACCCAGGGGACAAGGACATCCCACCCCAGGGGACAGGGATAGAGGTGTGCCACCCCAGGGGACAGCGACAGGGAGGTGCCAGCCCAGGGGACAGGGAGGTGCCACCCCAGGGGACAGGGAGGTGCCAGCCCAGGGGACAGGGACAGGGAGGTGCCAGCCCTGGGGACACGCCCGTGCTGTCCCCAGCCCCGCTCACCGCAGCGGCTCCGGGGGTGGCGCGGGCAGGGCGGGCCCGCTGGTGGCGCTGGTGGCGTTGGTGACATTGCGGGGCGGGCACAGCGTCCCCCAGGTGGGCAGCACCCCCATGGTGGCCGCGCTGGGCGGGTACAGGGTGGCACCCACGGCCACCCACAGGGACAGAGCCAGGCCCACGGCCAGGCCAGCCAGCACCCCCTGCGACAGGACGGGGACACAGGGACAGGGACGGGATGGGGACAGGGATGGGGACAGGGATGGGGATGGGACAGGGATGGGGATGGGAGAGGGATGGGGATGGGACAGGGACAGGGACAGGGACAGGGATGGGAGAGGAATGGGACAGGGACAGGGACACAGGGACACAGGGACAGGAATGGGGACGGGGACAGGGATGGGACAGGGATGGGGATGGGACAGGGACAAGGAGGTCAGCAGGGGCCGGGGGGCTGCAGAGACCCCCCCAAACCCCAAATGTCCCCACGGCTGTGCTGAGTGGCAGAATCCCCCTGCCTCAAAATCCTCCATTCCCCAAAATCCCCCTCCCCAAAATCCCCCAAACCCCCAATTCCCCAAACACCTCAAATCCCCCCAAACCCCAAAATGCAAACCCTGACCCCAAACCCCCAAACCCCAAACCCAAACCCCAAACTCCCAAACCCCAAAACCCCAAACCTCAAACCCAAACCCCAACCCCAACCCCAAACCCCAATCCCACACTCACGGCGGTGCCGCAGCGGGGCAGGAACATCCCGAGCACGAAGGCGCCCAGCAGGGGCCCGCTGATCACCCCCATCACTGTGAAGGAGCCCTGCGGGGTTGGGGCTTTTTGGGGTTTTTTTGGGGTCTGGGAGAGCTGCGGGGGGTGCTGGCACTGCCCCAACCCCCCCTGCTCGAGGGCTCTCCGGGTGCCACCAGAGCATGGCCATGTCCCCATGGTGTCCCCACGGTGTCCCCATGGTGTCCCCGCTTGGATGGGCACGGATAGCAGGGGGGGGTTGGGGGTGTTTTGGGGATTTTGGGGTTTTTTGGGGTCTGGCAGAGCTCCAGGGGGTGCTGGCACTGCCCCAACCCCCAGTCTTCAAGGGCTCTCCGGGTGCCACCACAGCGTGGCCGTGTCCCTGCTGTGTCCCCACAGTGTCCCCGCTTGGGTGGGCACGGATAGCGGCTGTGTCCCCGCTTGGGTGGGCACGGATAGCGGGGGGGCTTTGGGGGGGGTTGGGTTTTTTGGGGTTTTTTTGGGGTCTGGCAGAGCTCCAGGTGGGGCCTGGCACTGCCCCAACCCCCCCTCTTCAAGGGCTCTCCGGGTGCCACCAGGGGGTCTGGGAGAGCTCCAGGGGGTGCTGGCACTGCCCCAACCCCCCCTCTTCAAGGGCTCTCCGGGTGCCACCAGAGCGTGGCCGTGTCCCCAGTGTGTCCCCACAGTGTCCCTGCTCAGGTGGGCACAGAGAGTGGGGGGGGTTTGGGGGGGTCCGGGAGTGGTTTTTTTGGGGGGGGGTTGGGTTTTTTTGGGATGGCAGAAGCCGAGGGAGGGGATTTGGGGTCTGGGGGGGCTCTCACCTGCAGGACACCCCCCCCCAGCAGCGAGGACAGAGCGGCCACGGTGATGCAGGAGGTGCCGAAGGTGAGAGCTGTGGGAATATGGGATGGGGTGGGGTGGGATGGGTTTTATGGGATTGGTGGGATTGATGGGATGGGATAGGATGGGTTTTATGGGATTGATGGGATGGGATGGGATTTATGAGATGGGATAGGATGGGATTTATAGGATTTATGGGATGGGATGGATGGGATTGGTGTGATTGGTGGGATGGGATTGATGGGATGGATGGGACTGATGGGATGGGATTGATGGGATGGATGGGATGGATGGGATGGGATGGATGGAATTTATGGGATTGGGTTGGGATTGATGGGATGGGATGGATGGGATGGATGGGATGGATGGGACGGATGGGACAGATGGGATTGGTGGGATGGTCTTGATGGGATGGATGGGATTGATGGGATGGGATGGATGGGATGGATGGGATTGGGTTGGGATTGATGGGATGCGACTGAGATGGGATCCCCAGGGTGCAATGGCATGGCACAGCCTGGCACGGCCCAGGCGGGGGTGACCCATCCGTGTCCCCGTGGGGTGACCCTGCAGGGTGACCCATCCCCATGTAGGTGACCCACCCATGTCCCCCAGGCGCGGTGGCCCCGCGGGGTGACCCAGCCGTGTCCCCAGGCGCTGTCCCCGGGCCGGTGGCACTCACAGAGCCCCTTGGAGATGAGCGTCAGCCTCCTGGGGGACAGCGCTGGCAGCCGCGGCCGCACCAGGTCCTCCACGGCGACAGCAGCCATGGCGTTGATGGACGTGGAGGCCGTGCTGGGCGCGAGGTGGCCCCGTCAGCCCCGTGGGGACACCGGGGGGGTGGCACCCCCCGCCCGTGTCCCCACCCAGGCCGGGACCCCTCCTCACCTGAGCGTGCCGCTGTAGGCGCAGGCCAGGAACAGCCCCGGCACCCCCGGCGTGCTCCCGAAGATGTCCAGGACCAGGTAGGGCATGTACTGAGGGGACAGGGCTGAGGGGGCACCCCAAAAACCCCTGGGAGGCCCCCGAACACCACCCCACTGCCTCAGGGGGTGATGGACCCCTGGGGGACCCCAAAACCCCCTGGGAGCCCCCCAAACCCCACCCCACTGCCTCAGGGGGTGCTGGACCCTATGGGCACCCCAAAAACCCCTGGGAGCCCCCCGAACCCCACCGCACTGCCTCAGGGGGTGCTGGACCCCTGGGAGACCCCAAAACCCCCTGGGAGCCCCCCAAACCCCACCCCACTGCCTCAGGGGGTGCTGGACCCTATGGGCACCCCAAAAACCCCTGGGAGCCCCCCAAACCCCACCCCACTGCCTCAGGGGGCGCTGAAGAGGGGCAGGATCCCTGTGAGACCCCAAAACCCTCTCAGGCCCCACTGCTTGAGGGGTCCTGGAAGGGGCAGGACCCCGGGGGACCCCAAACCCCCCCTGGGAGCTCCTGAGAGGTGCTGGAAGGGGCAGGACCCCGGAGGAGCCCAAAACCCCCTGTGACCCCACACCTCGGGGTGTCCTGCTGGGGTCGGGATCCCGGGGGACCCCAAAGGCCGCGGTGAGGCCGGGGGGTCCCGGGGGGCCGTACCTGGTCGGGGGCGGCGATGGCTCCGGCCAGCAGCGGGTCACAGCGGCCGTAGAGCGCGAACATGACCAGCCCGCAGGACACGGCGCTGGCCACGATGCAGAACAGACCGAGCTGGTTCACCAGCAGCGCCCTGGGGACACGGGGACACCGGGGGGGAATGGGGACACGGGGACACGGGGGGAAAGGGGGACACGGGAGACACGGGGGACACAGCGGGAAGGGGGACACAGGGGGGAATGGGGACACGGGAGACACGGGGGACATGGGCACACGGGGACACAGGGACACCGGGGGACACGGGGGAGAACGGCGGACACGGGGACATGAGGACATGGGGACACGGGGGACACAGGGGGGAACAGGGACACGGAGGGGAAGAAAGGGGGACACAAGGGGCACGGGGTCAGGGTCCTGCCAGGGCAACTGGAGCACTGCCAGGTCCTGGCAGGGGTGTCAGGGGAATTCAGGGTCCTTTAAGGGGTGCAGGGTCCTGGCAGGGGCGGTGCCAGGTCCTTGCAGGGCACAACCCCCCACAAGAGCTTCCCCTCCCCTCTGCGACCCCCAGCGCGGGACCCGGAGAGTTCCCGGGATCCCGAGAGGGTCCGGAGGGTTCCCGGGATCCCGAGAGGGTCCGGAGAGTTCCCAGGATGCCAAAGGGGTCTGGAAAGCTCCCGGGGAGCCCCGAGGGGATCCAGAGGGTTCCCGGGGATGCCAAGGGGACCCGGAGAGTTCCCGGGGATCCCGAGGGGGTCCGGAGGGTTCCCGGGGGTCCCGGTGACCCCGAGGGGGTCCGCACTCACATCTTGGCCTCCCTCTCGCTCCGGCAGGCCACGTAGCGCTGCACCTGCGCCTGGTTGACGCCGTACATGGAGAGCCAGAGCAGCGTCCCGCCCAGCACGAACGTCCACACCGTGTACCGGCTCCGCGGGTCCGGGCTGAAACTGGGCACGGCCCGGGGCACGGCATGGCGGGGGTCCCGGGGGGCTGGGGGTGACCCCAGAGATCCGGGGAGGGGCTGGGGGTGAGCGCAGAGGTCCGGGGAGGGGCTGGGGGTGACCCCAAAACACGGGCAGGGGGATGAGGGGCTGGGAGTGACCCCAGAGATCGTGGGGTGGGGGGGTGAAGGGCTGGGGCTGACCCCACAGATCCCGGGAGGGGCTGGGGGTGACCCCAAAACCCGGGCAGGGGGGTGAGAGGGGGGCTAGGAGTGACCCCAGAGATCCCGGGGCGGGGGCAGGGGGTCCGGCGGGGTTCGGGGGGGCACAGTGACCCCACAGATCTCAGGGAAAGGGGTCCCGCAGGGTTCGGGGGACACAGTGACACCCCCATAACAGCCGGGGCAGGGTCAGGGGGTCCCGCGGGATTTTGGGGACGCAGTGACCCCACAGATCCCCGGGCAGGGTCAGGGGGTCCCGCGGGGTTTTGGGGGTACCCACTCGGCGAAGTTGAGCCTGGAGCCGTTGCTGGCGATGCTCAGCACCTCGGCGGGACCCCCGGCCAGCAGCGCCCCCCGCGCGGCGATGGCCACGAACCCCGAGAGCATCACCAGCACCTGGAACACGTCGGTCCAGATGACAGCCTTCATCCCGCCCTGCGGCACGGCCAGCCCTGAGCGCCGGGACCCCCGAGCCCGGGACCCCCGAGCGCCGGGACAGCCCCGGCGACACACCCCGGGACCACCGGGACAGCCAGGGACACCCCGGGACCACCGGGACCGCCCCCGGGACTGCCCCCGGGACAGCCAGGGACACCCGGGACCCCCCTGGACACCTCAGGACACCCCCAGAACACCCCGGGACCCCCGCCTGAACATCCCCGTGACAGCCAGGGACACTCGGGACCCCCTTGGACAGCCCCGGGGTACCCCGGGACGCCCCCAGGACAACCAGGGATCCCCGGGACACCCCCGGGAACCTCCGGGATGCCCCCCGAGACACCTCGGGACACTCCCACGACAGCTGGGGACAACTCCCGGGACCACCCTGGACAGCCCAGGACGCCTCAGTACCCCCCGGGACACGCCGGGACACTCGGGACGCCCTCCAGGCCCCCCCGGGACCCCCCCAGCCCCCCGCTCACGATGGTGGTGTAGAAGGTGCAGATGACCCCCGTGGACAGCAGCGACGCCCAAATGTCCAGCCCGGTCACTGGGGGAGAAGTGACAGTGACGAGTGACGGTGCTGGGGGGAGGAATTGTCACCTGGGGGGGGACACAGGGACGGGGAGACCCCCCCGCGCCACCGCTCACCTTGGTTCAGGATCAGGGCGGGGGCGTAGATGACGATCCCGGTGTAGAGCATCTGCGGGAACGGGGGGCTCAGGGACACGGGGTGGGGCTCGGGGACCCGGGGGGGGCTCAGGGACCGGCTTCAGTCCTTGTGCTGCGAAGTTGAGGGGTCTGGGGTTTGTTTTTCTTCTCAGAAGGAGCAGCTGAACTTCACATCATGTTAGGAAATTCTCAGTTGGGCTTTATCCCGTTAGTGCTGGGAATAAAAATCATGAGTTAGAGCTGAGGCAGGAGGGGATTAAAGGTATAAATCTTCGATTAGCACTGTCGTTTTTATATAGGCTGCATTAGGCTGTGCAGTGTACGATCAGTAATGCAGAATGTCTGCGGGCTCAGGCTGCCGGGGGGGGGGCTCGGGGACCCGGGGGGTCTCAGGATCCCGAGGGGGACTCAGCGCCCCAAGGGAGGCTCAGGGTCCCAAGAGGGGTCTCAGGGTCCCCAGAGGGGCTCAGAATCCCCAAGGTGGGGGGGGGGCTCAGGGTCCCGAGGGGTCTCAGGGTCTCCTCGCCGGTGCCACGGCGGGGGTCTCCGCTCGGTTTTCTCTGCAAACAGCGCTCCCGCCGCGCCGCGCTCGCTCCGAGCCAGCCCAAACACGAGCACGGGCCGGGGCCGCTTCCCCGGGGGCTCGGGGCAGAGCCCTGCCTGCCCCGCGCTGTCCCCGCGCTGTCCCCGCGGACGCACCGTGGCCAGCAGGTACTGCACGGTCCCGCAGAGCCGCACGCCCCGGCTGAAGCGCCGCTCCAGGTACTGCGACAAGGACAAGGACAGAGCCCTGAGCGGGGCTCCAGGCACCCCCAGAACCCCCGGCTTGGCGTTTGGGGGTCTCTGTGTCCCCCCACCCCAACCCCATGGGGTGCGGACCCTTCTCACCCCCTGCCCCGGGTGCTGGGGGATCCCTCCAGCCCCTCTCACTTTGGAGGTCTCGGCATCCCCCCGACACTTCTCACCCCCTGCCCCGGGTGCTGGGGGATCCCTCCAGCCCCTCTCACCCCCTCCTTTGGTGTTTTGGGGGTCTCTGCGTGCCCCCTCACCCCGCGGGACCCCTCCCAGCCGTGTCCCCGCGGTGTCCCGGGGTGTCCCCGGGTGTCCCCGCCGTGCCCACCTCGTAGGTGCTGGTGAGCCCCAGGCGGTAGAAGACGGGCAGGAAGAGCTGCGCGGTGAGCGCGCTGTTGAGGAGCTGCGCCAGGCACATCCAGAGGAATTTGGCTCCGTAGCGGAACGCCTCGGCCGGCACCCCCAGCACCTGGATGGCCGACATGAAGCTGGCGGACAGCGACAAACCCACGGGCAGCGCCGACATCCTGCGGCCGCCCGTGAAAAAATCCTCCGAGGTTTTCTGGCCGCCCTTGGCCAGCCCGTGGAAGAGCCCGATGCCCGTGGAGATCAGCAGCATCAGCGCGAAGACTCCGTAGTCCCAGGGGCTGAAGGTGAGCTCCCGCACGTCCTGGGGTCCCTGCCGAGCTGCCATGGTGTCGCTTAGGGCGGGGGGACCCCAAAAGAGGCGGCTGAGGGTGGGATTCGCAGCGGGGTTAGGCCGGGGCTCGGCGGCAGCGGCGCATCCGAGGGGGGGGACTGGAGGGAGAGAGAATTCCTTGGAATTCCTTGGAATTCCTTGGAACGGGCGGGCGGAGCGGGCAGCAGGAGAGGGCAGCAGGATTTTGGGCCGCACCCCGTGCCCTCTGTACCCTTCCCAGCACGGGGCTGTGCCAAGGGGCGCCAAGGGGCAGAGTCCGAGCGGGAACAGCCAGAATTTGGAGGGGAAATTGCCCCGATCCCTCCCCGGTCACCGGCTCCAGGGAAGCGTCGGCACCCAAAGGGACACGGGAGGGAGAGAGGGAGAGAGGGAGAGACCCCTCCCCAAAGCAGCACAAACAAGGAGGGGCAGAGCCTCCGGCGGAGCCAAATTTATCTCCAGCCGAGGGGAAAAAACAACAAAGCCGAAAGAAACCTTTACCCCAGCAGGAGCAGCTTGTTTGCCGGCCGAGCGGGACGGACCGGCTGCGCCGAGCCCGGGGAGCCGGGCGGGGGCTGCTCCCCGGGGAGGGGTCCCTGCCGCGTCCCCGGAGCCGTCGGGGGCCCGGCCGTGCCCCGGTGCTCCGGCACCTTCAGGCCGGCGGGGAGGGAGCCGCGGCGGGGAGGACGGAGCCGCGGGCGGCCGTAAATAAATAAATAACCCCTTCCCTGCCGGACGGAGCTCCGGGCCCCGGCGCTGAGCAGGGGCAGGACGGTGGCTCCTGGAGGGATACGTGGCACCGGGCGTGGGGCTGGCACCGCTTCCTCATTCCCTGCCACCAACGCCACCGCGTCCCGCCCGGGTCCGGACAGGTTTGGGGATTTCCAGGCTCTTGTCCCAAACCCCGCGGGTGAGGTCGGGGTTGGGGCAGGGGAAGAGCCCTGAGGTGGGGACAGAGCTGCTGTGGGGACAGCGTGGCCTCTGATGTGTCACCGTCCCCTCTGAGGGGTCACCAAGGGGGAAGAGTCCCCTCCGAAGTGTGGCCACGGAGGAACTTTCCCCTCTGAGGTGTCACTGCAAGGTCACTGTCTCCTACAGGCTATCACCACGAGGTCACTGTCTCCTCCAGGTCATCACCGTGGTGGCACTGTCCCCTCCAGGCCATCACCGTGGTGGCACTGTCACCTCCAGGTCATCACCGTGGTGGCACTGTCCCCTCCAGGCCATCACCACGAGGTCACTGTCCCCTCCAGCCCATCAGCATGAAGGCACCGTCCCCTCCGAGATGTCACCACGGAGTCATTGTCCCCTCCCAGATGTCACCACGAAGGTCCCGTCCCCTCCGAGATGTCACCACGGAGGCATTGTCCCCTCCCAACTGTCACCACGGGGCCACCGCCCCCTCTGAGTTGTCCCCGCGGGGCAGACGAGGGTCCCTGTCCCCGCCTCCAGCCCTGGTGGTGGCATTGTCCCCACCACGTGTCCCCGGGGGGGGACAGGGCAGGGCAGCACCCCGTCCCCTCCCCGCCGCCTCCTCGCCGAGCGGGCTTGGAGCAGCTCCAGGGGAAAAAACAGCGACTTTGGGCCACATCCGCCGGGCGGGGACGTGCGACACCGCACGGGCCCGGGGCTGGCACACGCCCAGCCCCGCGGTGGCACCGGGGACAGCACCGGGGCCAGGAAGGGCACTGCGGGTGGCAGCAATGGGGGGCAGGGGGGGCTGGCAGCGCCCTGGCTGAGCTGCCCGGGCAGAGCATCCCCCGTGCCTGTGGTACCCACGGCGCCAGCACCGGAGGGTCCCCGAGGGTCCCCGGAGTGTCCCTGGAGTGCCCAGAGGATCTCTGGAGTGCCCACAGGGGTCCCTGGGGTGCCCAGAGGGGTGCCCGGGAGTGCCCAGAGGATCTCTGGAGTGCCCAGACGGGTGCCCGGGGTTCCCAGAGGATCCTCAGGGGTGTCCAGAGCGTCCCCGGGTGTACCCAGAGTGTCCCCGGGGGTGCCCAGAGGGTTACCAGGGGTGCCCAGAGTGTCCTCGGGAATGCCCAGAAGGTTCCCGGGGGTTCCCAGAGGATCCTCAGGGGTGTCCAGACTGTCCCCGGGGGTGCCCAGAGGGCTCCCAGGGGTGCCCAGAGGATTCTCAGGGGTGCCCAGAGGGGTGCCCGGGGGTGCCCAGGTTCCAGCCCTTCACCCTCCGGACACCCCCTGGCTGTGCCCCGGGGTGTCGCATGCTGTCCCCCTCCCCTGGCAGGAAGCCGCCCGCCCGGGAGGCCTCGGGCAGGAAGGAAGTCACTCGGGGGTTTTTTATCTCTCCTTCGCTCGCAGCCACCTACGCAGCCCCAGAGCCCCGACCTGGCAGCGCAGCCCCCCCGGGACCCCTCCCCAGGCCCGCAGAGGTACCGGGGGGGCTGCGGGGGGCGGCCAGGCCGGGATGGGACCGGGAAGAACTTGGGTGGAGCCGGGGATGGAACTGGGAGGGAGTCGGGATGGAGCCGGGGATGGAAACGGGATGGAACTGGGATGGAACTGGGGTGGAGCCGGGGATGGAACTGGGATGGAACTGGGATGGAGCCGGGGATGGAACTGGGAATGGGGCTGGGATGGAGCCGGGGATGGAAAAGGGATGGAGCTGGGATGGAACTGGGGTGGAGCCAGGGATGGAACTGGGAGGGAGTCGGGATGGAACCGGGATGGGACCGGGATGGGGCTGGCATGGAACTGGGATGGAGCCGGGGATGGAACTGGGATGGAGCTGGGATGGAGCTGGGATGGAGCTGGGATGGAGCCGGGGATGGAAACAGGATGGAGCTGGGATGGAGCCGGGGATGGAGCTGGGTCCCCCCTGCTCACACCGGGAGCGCCGAGGCAGAGGAGGAGCAGCCGGGAGCGTGGGACAGGCTGGGAGAGGGGGGGGATATCCAACCGCGTGCCTCAGTTTCCCCTCCCTCCTTCCCAGCAGGGGCCCATGGCAGCCCTGCGGGCGCTGCTGCGCGGTTCGACCGCGGCGAGGATGATGAGGGTGGGACCAGGGGCTCACTCCCATCCTCCCTTTCCTTGCAGCGCCCGCCATGGCCCCGCTGGGCGAGGAGACGCCGCTGATCGGGGGCCGCTCCTGCAGCCTCTCGTCGGCCGAGAGCGGCACCCTGCAGGTGCTGCTGTACCACCGGGCCCCCGCCCCGCCGCGGGCCCCGGGCAGCGCCGCGGGCACGCTCAGCTTCACCTTCGGCGAGTACACGGCCGAGGAGCTCTGCGTGCGCGCTGCCAAGGCCTGCGGTGAGCGCCGGGCACCCGCGGCAAGGGCACCCGCCGGGAGGGGGGGCAGATGTGGGTGCGGGGTTCTGTTTGTGGGGACGGGGTCCTGGGGGTGCAGATGGGGTCCTGGGGGTGGGTAGGGGGTCCTGGGGGTGGGGATAGGGTCCTGGATGTGGGAATGGGGTCTTGGGGGTGCAGATGGGGTCCTGGGGGTGCAGATGGGGTCCTCGGGCTGGGGATGGGGTCCTGTGCTCATCCTCAGCAGGGAATTCTGGCTGTGGACTCAGGATCCCCAGCAGTGGGGTTTCTGTCCTGGTTGTGGGGTTTGGATACTGGCTGTGGGGTTTGTGTCCTGGCTGTGGGGTTTGGGTCCTGGCTGTGGGGTTTGGGTCCTGGCTGTGGGGTTTGGGTCCTGGCTGTGGGGTTTGTGTCCTGGCTGTGGGGTTTGTGTCCTGGCTGTGGGGTTTGGGTCCTGGCTGTGGGGTTTGTGTCCTGGCTGTGAGGTTTGTGTCCTGGCTGTGGGGTTTGGGTCCTGGCTGTTGGGTTTGTGTCCTGGTTGTGAGGTTTGGGTCCTGGCTGTTGGGTTTGTGTCCTGGCTGTGCACTTGGTGTCCAGTCGTGAGCTCAGGATCCCGCGGATGGGTTCAGGGTCCCGAGCACACCCTCCACAGGGGATCCTGGCCGTGGCTGTGGGGTCTCAGCCTCGAGCTGAGGCCCTGGCCATGGGCTCGGGTGCCAGCTCCTGTCGGTGCCCAGGTGTGCTGCCCGTGTGCCACCCGCTCTTCGCCCTGGCCACGGAGGACCTGAGCTGCTGGTTCCCCCCCAACCACGTGTTCACCGTGGACGAGTCCCGCAGCCAGGTCGTGGTGTACAGGCTCAGGTGCAGCTCCCCCCGGTCCCTGCCAGCTCCTGGGGTCGTGCTTTCGGGGGATGCAGCGCTGAGACCCCTCCTCTGTCCCCAGCAGGTTTTTCTTCCCCAACTGGTGCGGACTGGGACAGTCCCACCGCTTCCAGCTGCTGAACGGCCAGGCCAGCCCCGTCCTGGATTACCCCGTCATTGATTACCTGTTCGCCCAGGTGAGCACTGCCAGCCTGCCTCCTCCTCCTCCTCACCACCATCATCATCATCATCATCATCATCATCATCATCATCATCATCATCATCATCATCATCATCCCCGGGCTCTCTTTGTTGCCTGTGGAGACCGGGATGATGGATGCTGGGGGTGTTTTTGGGGTGCTCTGACCCCTCTCTTCCTCTTCCTCTTCCTCTTCCTCTGCCTCTTCCTCTTCTTCCTCTTCCTCCTCCTCTTCCTCCTCCTCCTCCTCCTCCTCCTCCTCTTTGGGTGTGCCGGGACACACCCCGGGGACGGGGAAGCAGAGCCTGGGCAGGATGTGACTCCCGGTGCCTCTGGGACACAAGGGGGACACGGGGGTGTCTGGGGGGGTCTCGGGAGGTGGCAGAGCCCCCCCGAGCCTCGTGCCCTTCCAGTCCCGCAGTGATTTCATCGGGGGCCGCGTGGCCGTGGGGCTGAGCCTGCCCACGCAGGAGCAGTGCCTGAGCCTGGCCGTGCTGGACATGCTGCGCATCGCCAGGGAGCAGCGGCAGAGCCCCGCGCAGGTCTGCAGCCACGTCAGGTGAGAGCGGGCACAGCGGCACCCGCGGGGCAGCGTGACACCCATGGGACAGTGTGACACCCCTGGGGACAGCCCGGCATGGCTGGGGACAGCCTGAAACACATGGGGATGGTGTGACACCCCTGGGGACAGTGTGACACCCCTGGGGACAGCCCGGCATAGCTGGGGACAGCCTGAAACCCATGGGGGCAGTGTCACACCCATGGGGACAGCCTGAAACCCATGTGGACAGTGTGACACCCCTGGGGACACTCCAACACCCCTGGGGACAGCCAGAAGCCCATGGGGATGGTGTGACACCTCTGGGGACAGCCTGAAACCCACGGGCACAGTGTGACACCCCTGGGGAGAGCCTGGCATGGCTGGAGACAGCCTGAATCCTATGGGGAGAGCCTGGCATGGCTGGGGACAGCCTGAAACCCATG